ACCCTTCTTTCCTCCCACCCTGTGCATCGGCTGGACAAATGACCTCCCAGCATCACTGATAACAAGGTGTGGCCATATGACTAAGTCCTGACCACTGAGCTCTGAGTAGAAGGCATCACATCCTCCTAAGGAAGCTGCTTGCCTTACATTCTCTCACTCTTCCTGTGCCCCATCCTTGGGCTGCAATACAGACATGATGGTTGGAGTGAGCCAGCCTCAACCCTGCATAACGGGGCCACATCCTAGGATGACAGAGCCACAAGATCTTGGACAGTGTATAGAAGTGAATTCTGTGTGCGGGAAAATGCTAGAACTGAGAATCAGTTCTAAGTGGAGCCTGGGTAACCAGGTGACCTCATTTTGCAATAACACTAACGCCCATGGTCTAACAACTCAGACTTTTTGCAAGTAAGAAAGAAATCTTTTTTCTAGTTGGTCTTTTCTAAACCAGCCAAATCAACATCCTAAATAATGCAGGTCAAATTAACCAGCACAAAAACATGGTTTCTTATTTCTCAGAAATTTGAGGCCCTCAGAAATTACATATTTCCATTTCCTGCCTCTCCATCAATAAACTCATCCACAATATATTCCCATTTATTTTTCCTTCCCTATGCAAGCTAAACTTTCTCCTTACCTAAGGTTTCTTCTTACCTTCCTGTTTTTTAAATGTTGATTTTCAAATCTACGTTCTTAGCCAACTGTCTTCTTGTTCAACGAGGTGTTCCTAGTAAATAGCATCCATTCTGCTGATTCTGATCTCTGCTGAGTCTCTCAGATTCACCTTCTAAGCTGCCAGAGGGGACTGATACCTCCTTGACGTGGAGAGGACCCTTCGTTTTTACTGGCACCAGTATGCACTATTTTCTATGTTTTTGTCTCACAGTTTTCCCCATGTATTTATTGCAATTTGACTTCAGCCTATTTGGCCCTTAAGCAACAGATAGGTTCTTTTAGTAAATATCAATAGGATGGATTGATTAGACTGGGTGGAAGCTAAGCATGCCCTCCCTGCAACATTGATATCAGGTGGTAGGTTATAAGGAAAGCAAGATTTAGTCCAAATTCTTCCAAATATAGAACCTTTTTTAGCAAGTGGGCAGAAATAGTCATATAACTTACTCATGTTAGTTTGAAAAAGTTCTCACCCTCTGTCCTCAAGCATGCCTACAAGTGTGTCCAATGAGAGGTTCACTTTAAGAGGTGGCTGCAGTAATATCTGAAGAACAGAATCAGCCAACTGTTGTCCAGGTCTGTCAGTAGATGCCTCCAAGAGCTGAATAGAAGGCAATGAGGAAAGGTGGACAAAGAATCAAAGAAAATAGACTGAGAAGGTACTAGGTTGCTGGACTTTCCAGCAACTTATTTGGCATGCATGGGATGTATTTAGTATCTACATGTGTCAGACCCTGTTCTTAGCACTGGACCTACAGATATGAGTACAACCAATAAAATTTTGATGTCATGGAATTAACACTCTGGTCAGGTGTTCTTGTACCTCATTCACACAAGAGTGATAGTGCTGTGAAATTTTTTAACTAGCCATGTATCTGGGACACCATTTATTTCACTAATGAAAATGTATTTCTAACATCCCTTATGCTAATTAATGAACTTCCTGGTATAAATTTCAATAAAGATCTTTGAAATACTTAAGTAGCCACCTGGGGAGTATGGATTTCTGATTAGGGCACTTCAGATTACAACTAACCACCCCTAGCGTGTGAATTCCTCGTAGGTAACTCTAATGATAAGTAACCTCCCTTGGAGTGCAGATTCAAGTTAATTTACACAAAGCACATTACACTGTTTATAAGGAAGTATTTTAAAGTACATTATAACAGATGCAATATAACAACATGGCAGGGAGTATGGTTGCCCAGAGCTTCCATGTTTCACACACATATTTTTTGAAATTGATATTTAGAGAGAGATAGGACGGGGAGGGGGGAGAGAGAGAAACATTGATTTCTGTCCTTTCCACTTATCTATGCAAAGTGGGGCCAGTCTAGTGGGGCTGAGCTCTTCACTTGTGGGATCTGACTCTAATTCCAGTTAGATAGGCTCAGAGCTGAATTGAATTGTAGGACACCTAGCAGGTGTTGGAGAATTGGTTCACACATCTGGTGTCAGAAGTGTTGTGGTTGTGAGATTTAAGAAAAATATGGTGTGATTTTCCTAGCTACGTATAATAACAAGGAAAATTAAATATGCATCCTTGACCTCAACTTCTGAGAAATATAGACAGAATGGACCTCACAGTGTTCACTGATGTTTACGTTATGTACAACATTTCATTTCAAATAAAGGAAAATTATATGGGGCATGGTATTCAGAATTTCTAGCCAGTAATTGAATAATCAGTTTAGCTGGAATATATAGTAGGTGAAAGAGAATAGTGGGACATTGCAGTTTTGAAAAGATAGCTAAAAAGACACCAAGTATCTCTGACAATTTACAACAGCAAAAAGTTCAAAACTGGGGAATGAAAGTACTATGTAAATATTGTAAACCTAATATGTGCAAATCCCATCTTGCAAATTAACCTGAGCCAGTCTGGGTATACACAGGCTTTGGGTTTATTTTGGTAGCTACAAATAGTCAAAAAATGTCTCTTCAAGTAAAAGCCAAAGATTCTCCCTAGAGGGAGAATTGGGTCAGGCACCAAGGAGCCTCCAGTGTCCTTGGCCAGAGATCCCTTGAAGGATTTAGCCTAGGACTTTGCTGCTAAGGGCACAGGCCAAGGGCCTCTGAGGATTCCTACACTCCACTCAGGAAAAGGCAGGGAGAGTTTTTGGGGTATTTTTAGATAATCACATACCTTGAATATGTTTCATTTTATTAGGAAAAAGTCTTATTTCTGACATTCATCATGTTGGTCAACAGGGCAGTTTTTACCAGTAAAACCCTTTTCTTACATTTAGTAAGCAAATTAAAACATGTCATTGTTGATCAAGGTACTGGTAACAGAAGCATTTGTAAAAGCTGTCTCTGAATGGCAGAAAATCACCACCCCCAGACTGTGCGTTGTTTATTTTTTAGCTTTCCATTATGAACAATTTTTATACATATATAAGGGAAGAGACAATAGTATAATGAACACCCATATACTCATCACCGAGACTTAATAAGTCTTAACATTTTATCATATTTGCTCATGTATTATATAGTTATGGACATTATGACATTTCACCCTTAAATACTTTAGTGTGCACTTCTCACAACCTAAATACATTTCCCAATGATCAATGCCATTACACACTTAATAAAATGAACAATAATCTTCCAATATCCTCTAATGCTCAATCTGTACTCAAATTTCCATATTTGTCCCCCAAGTGTGTTTATAGTGATTTTTTTAAAAACCAGACCCAAAAAGAAATTTGTCTTGCATTTTGTTGTTACTGGCTTGTGTTTTCTGGACTAGAATGCTGGCAACATCTGGGTGACAGAGTAATACAAATGGTACACATACAACATCATAACATATATGCTAAAATATATTAAAGAAAATTACAGACTGCCTTGGCTTGTGTGGCTTAGTGGATTGAGTGCTGGCCTGCAAACCAAAAGGTCACTGGTTTGATTCCCAGTCAGGGCACGTGCCTGGGTTACGTGCGAGAGGCAACCAATCAATGTATCTCTCACATACTTGTGTTTCTCTCCCTCTCTTTCTCCCTTCGCCTCTCTCTAAAAATAAAAAATAAATAAAATCTTTTTTAAAAACAACTAAAAAAAAAAAGAAAATTACAAACCTCACAATGACTTTACTAGGTATTTTCACCACTATCTCATTTATCTCTTTCCTGAAGAGGAAGATTTCCAAAGGACTTAGATAGGCTAATATGCATTTGCTGACCTTTCTAAACAATTTGGGGATTCCGAAGTTAAAAAAAAAGCACCAGATGATTCCAACACCATAACTTGAGAAACACCCATGATATCACATGCAAACTCTCAGGTATGACTCTGAAGGTTCTTTATGACTTGGCCTCAAATCATTTTTCTACTGTCTTTTGTACCCACACACATATCCTGAGCTATTCAATGATTACTGACAAGGCTGGGACTAGGGTCAGGTGAGAAGCCTGGGGCAGAAAATAAAGGAAGGCTGCCCTCTCAATGCCACGCCTGCATTCGCGCAAACTGGGGAGCAACATCTCCTTAAATTTTGTGTCCTAGGCACCTCTCTCACCTTCCGAGTATCTGTCCTGTTCTCTGAAAACCTCAGGCACTTCACGTGCACAATTTCAGCACATCCTGAAAACTCACTCAGTTTGAGATTCCTCCTTATAAAAACTTTGGAAATCAGCCCTGGCTGGGTGGCTCAGTTGGTTGGAATGTGGTCCGTACACCAAGACGTTGTGGGTTTGAACCCCTGTCGGGGCAGGTACGGGAGGCAGCTGATCAGTGCTTCTCACATTGATATTTCTTTCGCTCTCTCTCTAAAAATCACTAAACATACCCTCAGGTAAGGGTTAAAAAATTATTTGTAATAATGAAGACTTTTTTAGAGTTATTGTGGGGAGCATAAGAGTAGGTATATTAAGAAGTGCTTTCTGCCTGTGGTGTAGTTGGTGCTCATTAAATGCTAGTTTCCCTAAAAGAAATTAATAGAAATTTTATAAATGTTTTCTTTAGGAGACAGCCCAGCAGTGCTGGAGATCACAGATCTGCCAGGACCCGAGATGAGGATTATTAATAATAAGTATTTATTCCGTTTTGACTTCTGCCAGGTATTGTTCTAAGAACTTTACATGACTTATTTCATTTAATCTTCCCAACTCTACAAGGTTGAAATTTGTAAAACCCCCATTTAGAGATGCAAAAAGGCCCCACCCAGAGTCCCAGGGCTTGTCAAGGTAAGAAATGTCCAAACCTGTAGAGAATTTTTACAAGTCCATCTGAGCTCGAAATGACAACATGCCAGAGAACAAGATCACAAATGCTCCCCAGGATATGGGTTTTGCAGTTCGTTTTCTGTTGGTTTGTTTTTTCTATGCTGTACAACCCCCTTCAGTGCTTATAAGCCACAGGTAAGGAGGCTGGACAGTGGTTCAAGGCTGCAGTTTACTCTGGCATGGGCACACTAGGCGAGGCCACAGAGAAGAGCCCACAATAAATCCACTACCATGCTCTGTAGTTTCTTTTATGCTTTTGAAAACGATGGGAGGAGAGAAGATCACATGAAGGTGGGAGAAAGCAAGGCAGGAATGGGATTACAGGATGGTTCACAAGATTATATGCTCCCTTGAGGATGGTTACCTCTTAAAAGGAGGGGTCTGAACAGAGGCATTTCAAAAGTGTGTTAAAAAATAAAAATAAAAAAAATTTTAAATTAGCAAGATAATTTTTTTAAAGAAAAAAGAATAAAAGGGAGAGGGGGAAGTGTGTTAACCTTCCCCAGGGATGGAAAGTACAGCATAGGAAATATAGTCAATAATATTGTAGTAACTATGTATGGTACCCGGAGGGTACTAGAATTAGCAGCGGAGGGTGGGGGGGCGGGGGGGCAGGCTGGGGAGGGGGATTATTTTGAAAATTATATTATTGTCTGACCACTATATTGTATACCTGAAACTAATATAAAATAATATTGAATGTCAACCATAATTGAAAAATAAAGTAATGCTGTGATATTGATAAAAAAAAATGTGTTAATCTAGATGCACAGAAACAATGAAGGGCTTGCTTAAGGCCAAGGTAAGCCTTTTAATAAAAAGTTACATGCTTGGGGCATGACCACCCACCATAACCTGCCCAGTTAGGAATATATGATTTATTACAATACCCCCTCTTCGTCCACAGGCTCCTCTGGTTCTATAAGAGGTAAGAACTAAAAGCAGAAGGGGGAATTCTCTATGCATTTCCTCATTCTCTAGTCCATCCCTCGTTCACATGGATATCTGGGCAGCCCGAGGCTCCCGAAGATGGGGTCTATCAGTCAGGGCACTCATGCTGCATGCCCAGGAGGTTTCCACGGTGATGATGAGCTACATCTTCTCCGTTGCCCAATCTCTAAAACTGTGAATTCTCAAATAATCTGTATTGATATTTTAACACTTGAGCTAATATTAATGAACACTGTATCATAAGATGATCTCCCTTGTTTTATAAAATATGAGCGTATGTATGTTTAGCAGACTTAGGTTCAGAAGGTCCACCCCCAAACTGTAGTCCAAGTTCCCATACACTGACTTCTAATCATTTTCTAATAGCCTCACCAGTACTTTATCTGTCAGTAAAATGGTGTGTGTTTCACATCTGTTAGCATTCCTGAGAGCTTTTGGTGAACCTAATCATTGTTGTCATCATCAACTTCTCTGCCACTGATATGGCAGTTAACTTTAAAGTAACAAAAGTTAGTTTGCCCATAACAAATTAGTGCATTTTAACACTTGTAAAGCATGTTAACCTTTCCCTCCTCTGCCTCAAATGCAGCTGTCTACATGCGTATTGGCATATGACAGATCTCATCAAGCTCATCCCAATGAGAGGTCTTCAAAACACTTCCCGCCCCAGAATGCTTAGCCACATGCGCAGAAACAGTTCAGAAATTTTTCTACAGTCTGGCGAACAGGTCACATACGGCCATAATTCAGTATTTGTATTTATTCCACGAATCTTTTCAGACCATCTACTATATGCTGGGATTTGTAGGGTCTCTGGCAAAGAATTTTGCTAAGAATTCAAACATCTTTTTTGGTAGCACAAAGGGATGGATGAAGCTTGGAACAGGAGAGAAGCAATTCCTAAAAGCACCAGGAGGCTATGGAGAGAGTGGGGGAGTTCTCATTGGCTCTCTCAGCTAGAAAAATCACCTGTAAAGGACCAGGTTCAAGTAGGTTCTGTCTCAATTATTTGAATCCATTCCGTCTGTGGTAGGCAGTTAGACAAGAGCAGAGCAAGGACAATGGGCCAGGTACAGAAGGTCATCCGGACAGAAAGCCCCAGGTGCCTAGCAACAGGCAAAACTGACAACACAAGGACCTCACCCCCAGGGTAACATTTCCTCCCCTATCATATCACTGGTCATGCGCTTCAGAACCTCTCCTGACCTTCCCTCCCCTGGCAAATTGCTAGTCATGTAAGTTAGGCCCCCTTAGAGCCAGAAAGGGGGCAGAGAATAGCCTTTCAGCATTAAGCCCCCAGGAGAATGAGGTTCTGATGCCTATCAAATGCATCTAGGTCTTAGTGGTGTTTCAGCTTCAGGCCCAGAAAAGCAGCACTACCTGACAAGCAACGCCATGGCTGACATCAGGGCCAGCTGCATTGACTAACGACCCTGGCCAGATCAGTAGAGACCAGGACCCTGAAAGGACACACCTGGAAAGCTGATGAATAGTCTATTGGAATCCTCCCCTGAGACCTTCAGATAAACACCCCGAAGGTGAGGACCCAGTGAGGTTCTGTCTCTGGAGCTCCTGCACCCCCTCCCGTCCCCCCAGGCATCGCCTTTCCCTACCTCCTAGCCCCAGGTGCATTTTCCTTGCCTCTCTTTCTCTTAAGCTCCAAGGGCCCTTCTTTTGCCTCTGTACTTCTTTCCTGAACCCATTTCTTCTATGGCTCACTTCTTCTACCTCTGTGACTTTGTATTTTTTTAATTTGTTTTGTTATATTTTTTCATTGTTTGTTTTTTTCTTTTTCTTTTTCTTTTTTTTAAAATCATTTTTCCCGCCTGTGACTTTCTAAATAAACTTGCTCTTATAGATTGAGCCTTGGCTCTGAATTCTTTTTTAGCCAGAATTCAAGTCCCGAGTTGTGGAACCAAGCTCTGGTCTGAGACCACCAGTCTAACACCTGGGACGGTTTGCCACCAACACATCCACAACATTTGGCTGGCAGGAAGTCCTTGCTTTCTGCGGATTTACTAATGGGAGACATTCACTTTTGATATAATGAAAACTGCAGGAGTTGTGCTTTACTTCAGCTTCCCTTGAAGGAAGAGAATAGCAGCAAAAGTTTCTTTCTTTAATGCCAGGGTGCACATTTGCGTGTGAGTATACCTACAGGCATGCAATTGTCTGTTAAATCCAACAGACTTCAACTCTGCAAAATAGAGTAAATAACTCATTTGCATTTTCAAGCAATAAGAAAAAAGAAGCTTAACAGCGAAGTTAGGACACAGGACCATATCTTAGACTGAGACAAAGCCTGATCTCTGAGAAAAGAGGTTCTAAATGTACCGTTTCCTTGCCCTGGTCTTCTCCATTCTTCACATTTCTGACAACCTCACAAACAAGCTACAAGCTGAAATCCATTCTCTTGAGCATATTTAGCTACCAATGAATATGGGGGAAACTCTAGATTTTAGAAAGCAAAATCCTATGATGATTCAGAAAGTTTGCTTTTAAGGAGAGGCAATGTAATTATTGCTCAAGAGAGAATTTCAATGCAGCCCAAAGATAATTAGCTGCAAAGCCTAAATCAGATGCAGCGGTTGCTAAACTGACTCACTGTAACTTATAAAAATAATCCCTAAGCAAAACCCACAACATTATAATGAGAAAAGCCATCTACTAAGCCTGGTCTGATTGACTTGGTCAAATGGTATATAAATTAAACCCATCTGAAGAATCTGATCTCCAAAGGGGATTTTCATTTCCCTAAGACTGCAGTTTAAACATGAATGTAGGTAAGAAAGTAAGAGTAAAATCATTTTCCCCCCCATGTCTGGTGAACTTGGCAGCTCACGTGGAAAATGAGCCAGCTCTTCCCCTGCTGAACAAATCCATTCAAAATGATTTCATAGTTTTCCTTCCTCATCCTTTGGAATGTGAAAGCCATTTTCCAGTGGGTTTAATTTTTTTTCTAAATTTAACCCTTTAAGAGAAAAATACTCATTCTCTCTCTTTTTAAATTTTCCAAGGGTATGCAGAATAATGCAATAGTTTTGTTTTTTAAAGCACAAATGCTATAGGCAGAAAGTTGATTCAACCTTGTTTAATTAGGACCCAAGGGGAATAGTTGTGCCTAATATAATGCAAAGTTCTGTAACTGAACTAACATGATTTTGCAACCACCTGCCAGGCAAATAGCAATGCAGATAGATTTAAAAATACCAGAATTTTTCTTTTTGCTTTTGTATTGCAAAATTAAATACGCTAATTAAAAATCAGCTTATTAGTTGGAGACTGCTAGCTTTAATAATCAAGTTGGATTCTTTTGGGGCTATCTTATTTCCATTACCTATTCCCCTTCCCCTTTCTATGCCAATCTCTATTCCAGGTAGAAAAGATACATACATATTTGCTTACAAATGCATAAAACATATCTTCTGACACAGAAACACAAAAAAACTTTAATTTTTGCATTTTTCATATTTCCTGGTTTTTTGTACTGATAAAGTCAATTCATATATTAGGACCCATAAAATGGAGGCCACCCCAGTATCCCGGCCCACATCACAAATCTCAGCCTAAGTCAGCCTACACTTAAACACCAGTCAAGAAACTTAACATGCACCAGTTGAAACCAGAAAAGCAGCCTTCATGCTGCCTGTCACCTACCAGACCCAATAAGCAGAGGCAGGGAAGGATTGAATCTTTACGGGCGCTTCATTCAGATGGCAGGCAGGCGATCTGAGAAGACGGAGGGTTACGTACCTTAACAGACCATCTTAAATTCCATTTGAAATCAACCCTTTTTATAAGGAGAAGAAAAGTGTAGGCAAGAGGTTTGGAATTCAGGGAAAAAGTTAATCAGATAAAAGCTGCAGCATTCTTTCATCTGTGTCCTGGGCGGTGGTCTTTATCTTTGTCCTGGATGGTGGACACGTCACTCTGGAGCACAATGGCTCAGATACCATCTTGATTGCTTGCAGTTCTCCTGAGGCACAAAGGTAGCACTGTTTATGGTCTTCTGGGATCAAGGTGGGTCATACCTTCAGTTCCTGGAACAAGAGCTCATTACATGCATTGATTACTAAGCTTATTAGCTATTACCTAAATTAAAATTTCCAACTCCTTTTTTTTTTTAAAGATTTTAATTATTTATTTTTAGAGAGAGAAGAAGGGAGAGAGAAAGAGAGAAACATCGATCAGTTGGTTGCCTCTTGCATGCCCCAACTAGGAACCTGGCCCACAACCCAGACTCGTGCCCTCACCAGGAATTAAACCAGTGACATTTTGGTTGGC